GGTTCATACTGAGGGGAGGATCTGAGCACCTATGGACATGTCCGGAGTGCAATGAGGATAACCCAACTAACTAACTAACTAACTAACTAATTGTTAAGACGGGTCGTCATGGGCCAGTGGCCCGAGCCCCAACATAGATAGATAATTAATCAATGCAACTGGCAGTGATCCGCAGGCTACTTGTTAGGCCTCCACTGGCCAAATTTTGCCTGAGGGCTGCCAGTTTAATCACCCTGCTTTATGCGGTCATTGATTAGCATCAGCATGGCTTTTTGTTTGGCTTAGAATTATAATGTCTTTTTGATGGTTTATTATGTTTCAAGAAAAGGTATCAAACCAAATGTAAGGTAGAACAGAGGGCTTCATGTTATCACAGACACAACAGACAAATGTAAGGTAGAACCATTTGGCTTCATGTTATCACAGACACAACAGACAAATGTAAGGTAGAACCATTTGGCTTCATGTTATCACAGACACAACAGACAAGTGTAAGGTAGAACCAGTTGGCTTCAAGTTACCACAGACACATCAGACAAGTGAAAGGTAGAACCAGTTGGCTTCATGTTATCACAGACACACAGACAAGTGAAAGGTAGAACCAGTTGGCTTCATGTTACCACAGACACAACAGACAAGTGAAAGGTAGAACCAGTTGGCTTCATGTTATCACAGACACACAGACAAGTGAAAGGTAGAACCAGTTGGCTTCATGTTACCACAGACACACAGACAAGTGTAAGGCAGAACCAGTTGGCTTCATGTTACCACAGACACACAGACAATTGAAAGGTAGAACCAGTTGGCTTCATGTTACCACAGACACACAGACAAGTGAAAGGTAGAACCAGTTGGCTTCATGTTACCACAGACACACAGACAAGTGTTAGGTAGAACCAGTTGGCTTCATGTTACCACAGACACACAGACAAGTGTAAGGTAGAACCAGTTGGCTTCATGTTATCACAGACACAACAGACAAGTGTAAGGCAGAACCAGTTGGCTTCATGTTACCACAGACACACAGACAAGTGTAAGGCAGAACCAGTTGGCTTCATGTTATCACAGACACAACAGACAAGTGTAAGGCAGAACCAGTTGGCTTCATGTTATCACAGACACAACAGACAAGTGTAAGGCAGAACCAGTTGGCTTCATGTTACCACAGACACAACAGACAAGTGTAAGGTAGAACCAGTTGGCTTCATGTTATCACAGACACAACAGACAAGTGTAAGGCAGAACCAGTTGGCTTCATGTTACCACAGACACACAGACAAGTGTAAGGCAGAACCAGTTGGCTTCATGTTATCACAGACACAACAGACAAGTGTAAGGCAGAACCAGTTGGCTTCATGTTACCACAGACACACAGACAAGTGTAAGGCAGAACCAGTTGGCTTCATGTTACCACAGACACAACAGACAAGTGAACATTGCAGCTAGAGAGCCTTTATCAGTATATCACATTCTTTGTCTGGGTTCTGGGGCCCCATTGTGGGGAAAACAAGAATAGACCCACTGCCTCCTCAACAAGCATATCATAAAAGTCGACTAAATGGGGGGGGGGGGGGGATCTTTCGAGGCTGGAGTGCATCTGCCTGAGAGATAAGGAACCAAAAGTCTGCGCACAATTAAGTCAGATCTGTTAAACAGATGTGCAACGCGACACTCAGGTTCAAGTTCTGGAACAAGACCAAAGTCCAAAGGAAGGCAAACAACCAGAACTTTCCGCCAGGGTTTACAGCCGGTGAACGCCAAGAAGAAGAAGAAGAGTTTATTACATGAATATACACAACCACAATTGCAAACATGAGGAAGCAGACAGGAATACACAAAAACACTTAGCTGAGGTAGCTTTGAGAGAAATCACATATCTGTCTCAACCTTATCATCATCATGTGGCGCGGTGATTTATGTCACAGGCGTGAAGGGAAGTTAAGTCCAACATGATGTGTATAAGGAGATACTCGGTACGTCACTCGGGCGCCAGTCCTTCACTGTTCTGGTTTTACGGAACCTCACACAAGACCCCTGAAACACGTCCTCGTCGTGCGCCACGGATAATGTCTCAAACGAGCATTAACAGAGCTGTCAGGGGATCTCGGAGTTTGGCGGCCCCCAGAGGTGATGTGTCCTTATGGCTCTCATCAGCCCGCCCCCAAACGCTTGGGTGAAAAAAGGTTATCAAAACTCATTAGGAACATGAGTATGCTTGCCAAACGTACAGCCAAAAATCACAACCCTTGGTTAAAAGAATGCGGAGTGAAGAGAACATTGTTCACTGTTCATCCTCTGTTAACCCTCAGTGTCGTTGTCACCGCGCTGAGGTACACCACAACAGCAACCATCCCTAGGCTGGCCATCCAAGTACATCCTCGGTTAACCCTCAGTGTCGTCGTCACCGCGCTGAGGTACACCACAACAGCAACCATCCCTAGGCTGGCCATCCAAGTACATCCTTGGTTAACCCTCAGTGTCGTCGTCACCGCGCTGAGGTACACCACAACAGCAACCATCCAGAGGATGGCCATCCATGTACATCCTCGGTTAACCCTTAGTGTCGTCGTCACCGCGCCGAGGTACACCAAAACAGCAACCATACATAGGCTGGCCAGCCATGTACATCCTTTATATAACCCTTAGTGTCGTCGTCACCGTGCTGAGGTACACCACAACAGCAACAGTCCATTGGCTGGCTAAGCCTAAATGTCCGACAAAACTAGATCCTACGGCACACGAGTGAGCTCAAAATCGGACCACCACAATTTGTACTGAACGGAAAAAGACCAAATGTCCACACCCAAAGACCCCACTCGCCCGAGTGTTGGGACCAAACTGATAACGCTATGCCTGACGCAGGATGTAAAATTCTGTCGGGCTAACGGCTCGTCAAAGAAATCTAACGTGCGAAGGAAAAAAAGAATGTACCTATTCGTGTGGTCACAAAAGTCCAAAATCCACAGGCTGCTCCCCGCTGACTTCCAGAGGGCGCAGCTCTTGTCGAGCGGGAAGCCTGATACGGTTGTGAGGTTAAGCAGGCATGTGCAGGACGTGACGATTCCTTGGGTGAGCCCAGAACCAGAGCGCCATGTGCCGGCTCTGCATACATGGAAGCCTCCTTGGATGGCGGGGAATGCTCATGATCTGCCCCTGCCTTCCCTTGAGGGCTAACTGTTCCACAGGGGGCTGCCCCAAAGGGGTACTCCGGGGGCAATACCCATGGAGAAGGAGACAAAGTGGACTCCACACAAATCAGGCAACGTCTTTACCCACACAAAACAATGGCCACAGTCAACCTAGAAATAGGCCTGACGTCTTCCTTCGAAGTCGGAGTACAGCTGCCCATGAGGCAGGGAACATTAAAACGGTTGTACAAGCAAAAATCAGGTCCGGGTGAAAGCCAAAAGTCCAAGCGGACGATTAACCGTGACCTTCAGCTGGAATTCACAGCCGGTGAACGAAAAAAAAAAATTATCATCATCATCCCCTAACACTGTCATTGGGTCACCAGTTGCTGTTGACTGTCTGATCAGCACCTTCCAGCTTTAATGGTCAGATGCAATGGACTTCATGGCAACATGCCTGAGGCCTGTCCAGTCAGTCAAGTTTTGTATCCAGGTCTTTCTTGACCTGCATCTTCTCCTCTTCCCCTCTACTGAGCCCTGTTATATTGTTTTTGAGAGGCTATTAGATCTTTTTAAAATATTACATGTCCATAATATTGCATTTTCCGCCTTTTCACTGTAGTTAAAAGAGGTAATATAGAAGCAATTTGGCCTATTTAAACCTCAATGAAGATGAATCTGTATGGTACACAGAGATTTGGATTGCACAATAGATACCATAAAAGCTACCGGCCTCCTAATATGAGTTTTCTGGCAGAAGGAATGAAGAAGATCATTTAGCAGGTCCTTTGCAGAATGTTACTTCCGTCATGGCACACCAGAAAGCCACCTTGTTCCCTGCCAGCTTTCCAGCCTCATGAACTTGCATTCCAAAGCTGTCCTTGACCTCCTGTGTCCACAATTTTTCTGGTCATTCTCTGCCTCTACTTCCAAGAACCATACCCTCCATTACTGCTCTCTCCAAACCATTATGGCCTTCATATGGTAATAGTATTTCAGCTTTCTTCTTCTTTCTCCTCCTCTTCTTTTGCTTCTTCTTCCTCCTCCTCCTCTTCTTCTTCTTCTTCTTCTTCTTCTTCTTCTTCTTCTTCTTCTTCTTCTTCTTCTTCTTCTTTTTCTTCTTCTCCTTCTTCTTCTTCTTCTTTGTGTTGACTGACTGTAAGCTCAGCTGAAAGTTCTCTTTATTCGTCTGCTTCTGGACTTTTGTCTTTTCCCAGAGTTTTGTGTGCAGATCCGTTTTGCAGATCTGACTTGTTTGTATGTAGAATGTTGGTTTCTCGCTACAACTTTGAAAGACACACTTCTAATTAGTGGCCACTTTGGACATGCTTGTTGGGGCGGGGGAGAGGTGGGTGCAGGGGGTTTTATCTGTTTGTTTGCAAAATGAGGCTCTGGAATTCTCACAGGAATTACCAGCTTGTGAGCATCGTTACTGTTTATGAGCAAATCTGCTGAATATTCTGAACATATATTTCTAAAATGTTACGTCTTGTGTATGACTGGAGGAAAAAATTGGTGAGAAAGCAATAGGTAGACAGAAGCACTGGTGGGAGGACAAAATCAAGAGATTGACAAACGGCAGCCTTAGGAGAGGTACTACCATGGTGAGAGACGAGCCTGTTGGAGATCCGTTGCAGCCAACCTTCCTTGTGGAGATGGCACCTGATTTAATGATGATATTTGTGAATGATACTTAGAATTCTTCTTCTTCTTCTTTTCACTTGTCTGAGTGACATAATTGCTTTGTGCCTGTTTACTTCCTCGAGTATTTGTTGACTGGGCTAATTTTCCGTATACTTGTAACTGATTTAAGTTGGATTGTTTAAAATATACTGAATTATTGATAGCATTGTTGTAATGATTTCTAATCAGGATTCCTTACAGCAGTATGATCAAGTGATGCACTGCCTGGAGTTTGCTCGGGAGCTTCACAAGCAGTTTCTGCAGATAAATCAAGAGGTAGGGTTAACATATCATCATCGCTCAGCATGTCTTTATAGAACGTTGTGCTTGTAATGGTATACCTGAAAATCTCGCTTTCTCTAGCCAATTCTCCTGCCCTATGTGCTTGCAAACCCAGTACATCTTCAGTGTTGTCTTCATGGAGGTCAGCCTCTTTTTCAGTTTTCTTTTTCAGATCTATTTAGAGTTTTTTTCTTTTTGTCAAAGTCCATGTCATGTGGCATTGGTAGTCATGTCTATCCACAACCTTCTGTCTCCTATACTTTCAATCAACTCTGACACAGATGAACATCCATAATCCATGCAGTGTGGCATTGGTAGTCATGTCTATCCACAACCTTCTGTCTCCTATACTTTCAATCAACTCTGACACAGATGAACATCCATAATCCATGCAGTGTGGCATTGGTAGTCATGTCTATCCACAACCTTCTGTCTCCTATACTTTCAATCAACTCTGACACAGATGAACATCCATAATCCATGCAGTGTGGCATTGGTAGTCATGTCTATCCACAACCTTATGTTTCGTGTACTTTCAATCAGCTCTGACTCATATTTGGAATGTATTTTCGACTGTGACCAACGTGGTGGTGTGAATTGTAGATTCAGAAAATGGCGTGATGCCTGTCGTGCAATGTTGGCAATGGCCCGTATGTGAGTACAATTGATCGCGTGGGCAACTGCTGATCTGTTGGCGACAAGTTCTGCTATCATCAATGATGAACTGCATTTCTAATGTTGGACTGTTTGTGTTAGCACTTCGGATGGCTACCGTATGCTTTAATGTGAGTGTATGCTAGATATGCTAAGACAGCAGTCTGTCAATCTGTCCACAAGGGACTGTGATAAACATTCTGAGTGTTTCTCGTTGGCACAGGAGCGGAGCAAAGATGGGGCGACCCGTTTGCTATGAAGCTGAAACTAAGACTACCAGACTACCAGATCCTCCATGCCATGATGTCAAACTGTCCGGCATCTGTTCTCTGGGTCTTTCTTTGCTTCTCTTCCCCTCCAACTGTTCTAACATTACGATGTACTTCAGTTTTCCCCTTCTTGTCACGTGACCAAAGAATGTAGATTGTCTCTTACTGAGTGAGTCAGTTTTATTCAAGACGTCTTAATTATTTTTTTTAAATCTTTAGAGCTTCTAAGGATGTATAATATGGCAGTTGCCCCTTGCCTTCCACATCCACATTAGCAGAAGAAGTAGGTCAGTTGGGAGGTATGGCTACATTGATCATCTGCAGCCTGTTGCACTATTATAAGCCACATAAAGCTTGCTGTCTTCTCTTCTAATCCCTTCTGTCTTGTTTGTTTGTTTTGTTTGTTGTTGAGAGGATCAACATTATTGCACAGGGTTTGATCCCATATAGCTCAATCTCTACGCAAAATGGTCAGCCGCCTGCCAAGAGGATCACACAGAGCACAAGCTCTGTGGCTCCGGTGACAATTCTCAGTGATCTCCGTAAAAATTGCACTCGTCAACTGACCTGCACAGCTGGGAAACATCCATGACTTTAGAGTGCGAGGCAAGCGGCTTGACACCTGGGGAAACATCCATGACCTTAGAGTGGGAGGCGAGCGACTTGACAACTGGGAAACATCTATGACTTTAGAGTGGGAGGCAAGCGGCTTGACAACTGGGAGGAGTTACAAGAGAATCTGGCAGACGCTCAACACAAGGGGAAGGGTGAGACAGATATACAATCAGACAGTTACTGGTGCCATCGGAATAGTAACTCTTCGCTTGCTGCTAAAGATGGGGACAGAGCGCTTATGGGAGTGTCCAGGGTGCTGATGTCGATTCTTAATTCAACATTCTATATAACTGTATGCCAGCAGTTGTCAACATATTTTAAATTTTTCTTGGCCTATCTTGAATTGACCCCCCTCAATGTTCATCAGTTTCCTTGTGAGGGTTTTGTTTTCAGATACATTTAATGTTTGTTGCGTGTCTTTGGTTTGTTAGAATTAAAACGCCATTGGGATTGAAACTGCATAACTTGGTTTTAAAACTGTAAAATTTAGAGTTCCATAGTTCAGCTTTTTAAAAGTTGTTGTTGCCTTGACAAACTGTTTCAGTGGCTTATATTTGATGTAGATAAATTAGGAGATATGATACTCATTTCCAGTATCATATACTTATATTTCCAGTATGATCTACTTATATTTCCAGTATGAATTACTTAGATTTCCCGTATGATCCACTTAGATTTCCTGTAGGATTTACCCTCATTTCCAGTAGGATTTACCCTCATTTCCAGTAGGATTTACCCACTTTTCCAGTAGGATTTACCTACTTTTCCAGTAGGATTTACCCACATTCCCAGTATGATTTACCCACATTTCCAGTATGATATACATATTTGCAGCATGAAAAGGTGGCTCGAAAGCAGGCCAAGCGAGAGAAAGCCGAACGGCAGGCGTTGGAAATCAAAAGGATTTGTGAGATCCTGCAACTGCAGGCTTTACTGGATCTGCTGGGTCGGGACAAGGTCAGGGAGGATTTCAAGACAGGGAAGCATGGTGCAGTGGTGAGTACATGCATGGGCTGAGTGGCTGTGGGCAGAAGTAAGAGGAGTATGAAGTGACTGTTTGATAGGTGTGTATTAGAGGGCTCTCCTCTTTTTGGTATATGGTGGTAGAGTTGTATGGTGGGCTTTTTGGTATATGGTGGTAGAGTTGTATTGTGGGCTTTTTTGGTATATGGTGGTAGAGTTGTATGGTGGGCTTTTTGGTATATGGTGGTAGAGTTGTATGGTGGGCTTTTTGGTATATGGTGGTAGAGTTGTATGGTAAGCTTTTTGGTATTTGGTGGTAGCGTTGTATGGTGGGCTTTTTGGTATAGGGTGGTAGAGTTGTATGGTGGGCTTTTTTGGTATATGGTGGTAGAGTTGTATGGTGGGATTTTTGGTATATGGTGGTAGAGTTGTATGGTGGGCGTTTTTGGTATATGGTGATAAGAGTTGTATGGTGGGCTTTTTGGTATATGGTGGTAGAGTTGTATGGTGGGCTTTTTTGGTATTTGGTGATAAGAGTTGTATGGTGGGCTTTTTGGTATATGGTGGTAGAGTTGTATGGTGGGCTTTTTTGGTATATGGTGGTAGAGTTGTATGGTGAGCTTTATTGTACAAGGTCTGACAATTAAGTAATGAGACTGATTCCTTAAAAATTAAAATAATCAACAGTTGAAGAAATAACCTGTATCTGAATCAAAGTAAGCCCCTTGTGCATTGATACAGCAAGTGGCACGAACACTGGAATGACCTCTATAGTTCTTCTATTGTTATGGCCCTTAAAGTCGATGTTACGGCCCTTTGGATATCATCAATATCATTAAAGAAGCGTCCTTTCAATCGTAACTTTAATTTTATGAATCTATATTAATAAAAATCTTAATTTTTCGATGTTGTAATCCCTAAACTCAGAAACTACTGAACCGATTGCTTTAAAATTTGCACACAACCTTGCCTTTGACCCCAAGCGTGATTTTTTTGTCAGAAAATCGCACAAACCACGAACGATGTAGCTCCAGCAACGGTAAAATCAATATTTGTTTCGTTGCCAGCCCGGATTTTCCTTTTAGTTGATTGGCTATTTTTGGCTGCCGAGCTCTTATTGAACTTTGCATTTTTATATAATTTCATTTCCACTATCTGTTTGAGTGTCTGAATGGTAACTATTCTGCTTATCATGCGTTCGATTCCATGCTAGGTGATATAATATTTTTTTTAGCCCCTAACTGGGCGGCTCTCACGTTGTGGTTTATGGCTAGGCTGCGATATCTATGCCTTTTTCGGTTTTGGGTTTTACAGCTAGCCTGCTACAGCAGCGACGTGATGCTGAATGGTCATGTTACGGGTATTCTTCGTTCACCCTCGAGAGGGTCGTTGGCACGTTGTGTTGTGGTTTACAGCTAGGTTGCGATATCTGACCTAAACTCTTCAGTCTTCGGTAGTATAGTTTTAAGTATTCCATTCTTCACGCGGGTGCCCAGTGTTCGATTCCCCACTGGGTGATAATTGTTCTTTTTCCCTTAAATGGGTGGTTGCCACGTTGTGTTGTGGGTTACAGCTAGGCTGCGAAATCTGCACCTTTCGCCCACAGATATCCGATTTCAGTTAAGTCACAATTAGCCTCCCCGGGACGCTTCTCGATCAAAACTATTCGGCGATGACAGACACCGTTACCTAAGGGCATACAGTCCAGTTTAGTTTGGGTGGGCACGGATGCCAAGGTCAGTTACAAATCACTCCTTCGGAGAGGGAGAGATGATGGGTGCGGGGTATTTTTCTCCACTATTCGTGAGTATAGTGTACTTTTCACTGTGGGTTGTTCCATCATTGGTTACGTGATGAAGTTTTTTAAATTTCTATGTCGGGGGCAACATTATACTAAATATTCCGTGGCGACAGCATGCGGCGCTAACTCCTCTTTTCTACACCAACCTACCCAGACTGAAATGACAGTTTTTGTTGTTGTTGTTGTGATGGTGGTGGTGGTAGTGGTTGCAGTAGTACTGGTACTGGATGGGTGATGTGGTAGCTGTTACACTGGCTACATTTACCTCTTTGTACAAGTAAATGCTACCTATTTAAGTCTGGCAAGCTCAATTTTGTTTAAAAATTTAGTCACATAGTGACTTTCCCACCCTTTGGAGAGGATGATATGATTGGGGAGGAGGGGTGGGAGGGGGGGGGGGGCTTATGTCAGACACAGTTAGCTGAGTGCGCTTTAAAGGTTATTTTACAGTTCTCAACTCTTAACTTTTTCTATTTTAAAAATTTCGGAGAGGGAAATATATGGGGGGTGGGGTTATGCCAGACACAGTCAGTTGAGAGGAGCTTAAAATATTATTTTACAGTTCTCATTTATTAACTATTTCTATTTTAATAATTTCGCCATGGATGATTTTTCAGTCCTTCGGAGAGGGAGATATGACTTCGCAAGGTGATAATTTTTCAATCTTTCGGAGAGGGATATATGAAGGGGGGGGGGGGGGGGAGTTTGTCAGACACAGTTAGCTGAGAGAGCTTAAAATATTATTTTATTGTTCTATTTTATCTATTTTTATTTTAATAATATCGCCAGGTGATGATTTTTCAATCCTACGGAGAGGGAGATATGGGGGGGGGGGGGGGGGGGGTATTCCAAACACAGTTAGCTGAGAGAGTGATTTTTCAATCCTTTGGAGAGGGAGATATGACTTCGCAAGGTGATGATTTTTCACTCTTTCGGGGAGGGAGATATGATTGGGGGTGGGGGGGGAGGGGGGAGCGGAGAGAAGGGGGTTATGCCAGAGAGCTTAAGATATTATTTTAAAGTTCTCATTAATTAACTATTTCTATTTTACTAATTTCGCCAGGTGATGATTTTTTCAATCCTTCGGAGAGGGAGATATGACTGGGTCGAGAGGGGGGGGGGGGGGGAGAGGGGGGGGGGAGATATGACAGACACTGTTAGCTGAGAGCTATTTTTTTCCCTCTTCATTTCAGCATTCTGGGCCACAGCAACGCGTGGCCGGGTACAGCTAGTAGAAAATAATCATTGTGAGACAAATCTGGGGACTAGGGTGGAAGGCTGAGATCACACACTTATTTTGGGGCCAACAAGTCTTGTTTGGATGATATCTCTTGGGTACTCAACCCGTTGATATTTTTAGTCATCAGATAATGAATGTGGTACAAACCGGCAAGCAACTTTTTTTCTTGCCAAAATCTTGCACTAAAATGTTATGAATTGTCTCTCTATTAACACCAGATTCATCTGTCATCATTCTCACAGTAAAACAATGATCATCTTGTATCCATTCTCTGACATTTGCAATGAGTTTATCATTACGAACAGAAATTTGATGTCCAGGTCTAGGTGCATTAGTAATCATTTCCACACCACTTTTTAATCGTGAATACAACTTGAAAATTTGTGCACGAGATAAACAATTATCCCCATAAACTTGTTGCATCATTTCAACTGTTTCAATGGCGCTTTTTCTGAGTTTAAGAATTTAATGTTAGCTTTTTGCTCTGTGATGATTACGTAACAGTGCACCTTTGACTAGTTCAACAAAATGGCGGCTTGTTTGTTGTCTGCTTATTGAGGGGCTATGAAAAGTTGCCAGATCGTAGATGAATCAGTCTCAGTACTTAATTGTCGGACCTTGTGTTTGGTGTGGCTTTGTGGTATATGGTGGTAGAGTAGTATGGTGGGCTTTATCGTATATGGTGGGGCTTTGTGGTTCATGTCAGGTCTTGGTCAGATATGACTGAGCTACTGTATAACAGTAGACGGTACCATGTGTCTTCTGTTACGCCGAATGTTGGGCGGCGTATACTAACCCAACATCCCATATTGTGCCAACGGCTTCGGGCGGAGGAGCGCATTGGGGAAGATACTAGCCTTATCCTAGGAAGAGGAAATACTACCTGAAAACTTTATGTTATGGCAGGGCAGACTAGGCCCTTCGCCTTGGCTGGCAGCTGGTCTAGAAGGGAAGCTCCGACAGGCGGACAGATAGAGCACTGCTCTTCTGATCCGGCAGCTTCTGCAACCTGCCTTGTTCCAAACGTACTGGTTTTACCTTTCCTTTGGAGTAAATGTTGTTGTTGTTGTTATCGATCCAGCGGCGCATGAGCTTTCGCCCTTTGGCCCAATGCCATGTAGTGGAATTTGCATGTTTTCACAAGCTGTTCTTTTCCTCCGTACAAGGTGTTCCACTTGTCTGGTCTCGGAGGGAGTAGCGTTCTTCTTGTCTCACTGAGTTTTGGGCACTCAAAGAGATGGTGTTCAACAGTTTCGTAGGGGTAGTTACATAGCTGGCACTCTGGGGAGTGTTGTGGCTGTATTCTGTTTAGGTGTCCATTGAGTGGAGTATGTTGCGTTCTAAGTCTGAAGATGGTGGCCTGGTCCCTTCTTGTTAGATGGTTAATGCTGTCATTAGGATCAGGGCCAGACATATGTCTATAAACCTCTCTTCCAGTGTCTCCCATGGCCCATCTGTTCAACCAAGTCTCTTTGTTTATAACTCTTATCAGTGTTTTTGCTGTCTGGAGGGTTGTCGCTGTAGGTGGTTGTTCTTGTGTTGCTCCTTTCTTTGCCAATCTGTCAGCTCTGTCATTACCTGGTGTGCCGGAGTGACCTGGAATCCACTGCATCACTATTCTGATGTTGTATGAGGTAATAAGCTGATCGGCATCCAGGATTATCTTGGCTATGTCAGTTCTGCAGCGTTCATTGCCCTCCAGAGCTTGAAGGGCAGACATTGAATCTGTGAGGATGACAATATTTTGGACCTTTGAGGGGTAAACATCCATTACAGTCTTTAGGTGGTATACTGCTGTTTCCAGTGCAATTATTTCAGCTTCATAGTTTGAACAGAATTCCCCGCATGCATCAAAAATCTCTTCAAAAGATCCATCGGGATAACCTATGTAGATTCCGTAACCTGCTTTAATGGTACTTTGGAGTAAATAAGGCAGGTCGAGGGAGGGATCATTATGCATTGGTAACATATGGTCTCTACAATACTGCCCAGGCTTTGTGAACTTCATCCCTGGCCTTAATTGGATTGTGGAAGACTTTTCTTGACACTGGCGGGTCTTGCTAGTCATATTAGCCATCACCATGGGCTGTGAGTTTTATGCCTCCTCATTGCGCAATATAACACTATCGTCTGGAAATACGGAAAGGTGCCAATGATGTGGCTTTGTGGTATATGCTGGTAGAGCCTAATGGTGTGGTTGTGGTGGCATCACAAGGCATTCTGTCTTAGGTGGCAAACCATTTGATTTGCTGTCTTTGTATGTAATTTAACATTGGTTCTGTACTGACATGTTCTTTTATGACTTGATTCCTGATTTGATCTCTTCTGGTCACTACTGCAACCTTTCTCAGGCATCTCATTTTCATGGTTACTAATTATCTTTTCTGATTTTTTGTGAGTGACCATGGATGGCACTGGTATCATAGGATGGGGATGAATATGTTTTGTATGAGATGTCTGTTTTTGCTGATTGGAATTAATTTGTAATAAAACAGGTCTTAACTGAAGACAATCTGAACCAGCTGGATGAGCTTTACCAAGCGATCTCCCCGTCCCGAGATGACAGCGGAGATGAATACCCACAACGCATCACTTTAGCTGCCGAACACCTGGTCAACTACCTGGATGCCAAGGATCGGCAGGTGGTGGGGACAACATACAAGGAGCTGAAAGAACTCATCACCATTATCATGCAGTGTGGCTACTTTGAGAAACCCAAAAATGACGAGGTTCTTGAGGGTAGGTACATCATTTTTCTTTCCATCTCTCTTCTTCTTCTTTGATCTGTCTTATCATGTAGCCTTGAGGAAGCTATTGTGCAGTTGAGTTCTCCACATGTACCATACAGTTTTGGTTACAGTTGAGATCTCCACATGTACCATACAGTTTTGGTTTTGATAAATTGTCTCTGTGCCTGCAGCGTACAGTCTAGAGCAGGGCTATTCAACAAAATTTTTGAAAATTTGTATTGCCACGGGCCAGTCTCACGCCCCAGCATAAACAGCTCATTAATATAGTACAGCTGACAATGATCCACGGGCCACTTGATGAGTTGCAGGACACATCTCTGTGATTGCCAGGTGTTTGTGGATTGCCAGTTATATCTTCCCAGGCCTAAGCTTTGAGAGCTGTGCTAATTTATTAACTAGACACTTTCTGGCATGTCTTTGGCTCAGATCTACACTGTGAAGAATTAATAATTGGCCTCAATTCTCAGTTGGAACAAGCCTAAGTATGTCTTCTTCTTCACTTCCTCTTTCACTTCTTCGGGTGTCAAGGGTGGATATAAGGTTCTGCTTCTTGCTCTTCTGGCCATCTCAAGTATAGACATATCGTGCTGTTGTAGAGTTGAGTTTCTCTGATGTTATCTTTACATCTTGCTCTTGGTATGCCCCATGATCCATTTTCTTTTGCTCCTTTGGACAGGAATCAGTTTTATTTTTACTGGGAACGTTAACTTGGTCAATAAATGCCCTGCAGAATTTGGATGTGTCAGCAGAAAGATGCAAATAACGCAGCCATGCTGTGAACAGGCACAATATAGTTACATCTTTGGAAGACCGCAGCAGAAGTTTCATTTTTGCACCAGGACACTTTGGGGTTAAAGGGAATAAATGGCTTGCAGGCAGGGCCTCAGTAGGTACAGGAAAAACTGGGGCGGGGCTCTCAGTGCTGTCAAGAAGACGGGACGAATAGATCAGTGCTGTCAAGAAGACAGGACGAATAGATCAGTGCTGTCAAGAAGACAGGACGAATAGATCAGTGCTGTCAAGAAGACGGGATGAATAGATCAGTGCTGTCAAGAAGACAGGACGAATAGATCAGTGCTGTCAAGAAGACAGGACGAATAGATCAGTGCTGTCAAGAAGACAGGATGAATAGATCAGTGCTGTCAAGAAGACAGGACAAATAGATCAGTGCTGTCAAGAAGACAGGACGAATAGATCAGTGCTGTCAAGAAGACGGGACGAATAGATCAGTGCTGTCAAGAAGACAGGACGAATAGATCAGTGCTGTCAAGAAGACAGGACGAGTAGATGATTCAGGAGAAGACGGTAAACCTGCAATATTGACAAGACTACAAGAAATGTATGCCAGAGAGGTTTTGCCTGACCTGAACGCTATACATGTTGCCAAAGAAGAGTAGTACTCCAATACAGAACTGATGTTATCAGATGTCATACACTGAAGGAAATGCTGAATGTGGGATCTGAGCACTTATGGACTTGTCCGATGTGCAGTGAACATGATCTGTCAATTAATCAGCTAACAAACAGCATACTGATCTGAGGCCTGCACTGATTCATGTGTGTACTTAATTTCCTCAGCAGCTCCAACAGAGTTTGTTGCGGAGACAGATGTTGCGGCAGCTGACACAGAGGTAGCTGCCAGTGAAGAACTGGCTTCATCAAATGAACCAGACCAGACTTTTGATGAGCAACAGCAGTCGCAGCAGCCGCAACAGCCACCAGTCGATTTAACTACATCAGTTGCTGAAGTATCACAATCTCATAGGGTTTTGCCTGCACCGGTATGTTTTTATTTGGTTTCTCTCCTTTCTTTCCTTCTGTATTTTTTATACATAAACATAGAAAATAGCTAAAGCATACTCAGAGATGTTTGGAACATTTTTCTGTGTTCACGCTAAAAGGAGGTTGGTAGGTTATGTTGTAGTGGGCAGATTGGCTGTGATATCTGCATATTTTGGCAGATGTCATCTCCACAGTGAAAGGTGGCTGCAGTTGACTGCCAATACATTTCTATCTCGTCCTGGTTGTACACTCAGCTGTTTGTCCACCTTCCCCCACTTTCCATGATGTCGTGCATGACACTCTTACATCCTCAGTGTCATAGAGCTGTGTACTGGCTCGTTGGCAGCTCCATGCCATTGTGTTTGGCCTTAAACACAACTAACCCAACACCGTTAGAGCATACCATGTCATTACAAATAGCACTGGGCGGTTCCTCCTAGAGATGGTCCTGGTTATTAACCTCGCCATCCACGCACTGGCCTCTAGGTTGCTAACCGGATCTGAACCAGCAGTCACTGATGCAAGCTCTTTCCTGAGCCCTCCCTTCTTACACCTCAACTGTGGTGGCTCTGTATGGTGGTGATGGAACAGACCATGTCACAGTTCCCAGCATGGTTACCATACCTGCATCATCATCCTCTGTTCCTCTTCACCAAGCAAATCTCTGGACATAACCTGTTTATAAACCTGCCATATGATGGTGCTGTCAGCGATTCAGAAAACATATCAATACTGCTGTCACAGTACTGACAGGTATGATTACTGTCATTAAAGTTTTCACATGGAGTCCCTCGTGATGTAAACTGTGGTACTCTTCTCTTCTGCATCATTCATGTTGCCTGCTGTCCGTTGGATGGTGATTCTGAGAAGGACTAGTCCTAGGATGAAACTTCTGTTAAACATGTCAGTTCCATAAGGTTTTAGCCTTCCTCATTAAATATTTCAACAGAAACTCTAGCGACTGTAGTTGCCAGATTTATTTAATATACACTGACCAAAGGTTAAATATAAGATGACGCTTGATATGATGTTTGAGATATTTGGGTAACAGTCAGTAACACATCTTGGTGTTGTTGAGGGCTGAAAGAATTAAACCAGTGGTCCCCAACCAACAGAAGAGTTTATTTCTACTTGTAATCATCTGGATTTTCAGTTTTAAGACGACCTTGTCCAACAGCAGACCAAAATGGCAGATATCATTAAAACAAAACAGTGTCAAACATCACACTGATGTTTGGACACAAAATTACCTGTTGTTGGGGATTGTTTCTGTTATTGATTATGCATATCTTTTTCTCCAAGTTCTTATTAACAGTGATTTGGATTTTTTTCTTGTTCTCCTCTTTCAAATCACATTTTGTAATGTTGTGGGGTGGGGTCTTGCCATATACCTAGAGTGGACATGAAAGCCGGGGGCCACTTGAAACATGTTGGGGACCACTGTTTGAAACGTTCTTCACTGTTATTAAACATGGAGCCTCGCTCAAAGTTTGAAGTAAAATTTGGCGTCATTTTGTTGCAGGCCCTGGACACATTGGAACAAGATGCATTCTTTGCCCCGAGCAGCTTGCCATACCAGACTTCGGCAGATCCACATTTCACACAGTCCAGCCACGTGGCCACATCACAGATCCCCGATTACCCGTCTTTTTCCAACGGGCCATTCCAGTTCATACAGGCTTCCTATGTCATGCCTGAGACTGCAGGTAGGGGTTGTCAGAGAGTAGACAGCGGTGGCAGGGAGACATGAAGAGAGACTGCAGGTAGGGGTTGTCAGAGAGTAGACAGCGGTGGCAGGGAGACAGGAAGAGAGACTGCAGGTAGGGGTTGTCAGAGAGTAGGCAGTGGTGGCAGGGAGACATGAAGAGAGACTGCAGGTAGGGGTTGTCAGAGAGTAGACAGCGGTGGCAGGGAGACATGAAGAGAGACTGCAGGTAGGGGTTGTCAGAGAGTAGACAGCAGTGGCAGGGAGACAGGAAGAGAGACTGCAGGTAGGGGTTGTCAGAGAGTAGGCAGGGAGACAGGAAGAGAGACTGCAGGTAGGGGTTGTCAGAGAGTAGGCAGGGAGACAGGAAGAGAGACTGCAGGTAGGGGTTGTCAGAGAGTAGGCAGGGAGACAGGAAGAGAGACTGCAGGTAGGGGTTGTCAGAGAGTAGGCAGGGAGACTGGAAGAGAGACTGCAGGTAGGGGTTGTCAGAGAGTAGGCAGGGAGACTGGAAGAGAGACTGCAGGTAGGGGTTGTCAGAGAGTAGGCAGGGAGACTGGAAGAGAGCAGAGGGTGACATAGATGAGAAGGCAATGTGTGAGATACTGTTTCCCCAAATATTCTTCTTTTTCACCTTCACTGGCTGTAAACTCCAGTGGAAAGTTCTGGTTGTTCATTCACGCCTGGACTTTGGTCTTGTTGCAGAACCTCAGTGTTGCATGCACATCTTTTTTACAGATCTGATTTACTTGTATGCAGGCTGTTGTTGTCTTGTCTCTCAGGCAGATGCACTTCGAAGGAAGACCCCAATTAGTCGACGTTTACTACATGCTTGTTGGAAGGCAGTGGGTCTATTCCTGTTTTCACCACAGTGGGGCCCAGAAACCTGAACAAGGATTTCTGAAAATAAGATCAGGTCTTACATTAATTTTTCGGGGGGGGGGGGGGGTTAAAATTTGAAATAATCCTAAAAATCGCTCTCAGGTTAATTTTTTGGGGGTAGGTCTTCTCCCCCCCCCCCCCCCCCCCCCCCCCCCCCCCCCCCCCCCCCCCCCCAGGTAATCACTTTAGATAGAGGAAGGAGTGAAGGGGGTAGGGAAATCTGTTTCTCAGAATGGCTGACTGTCTGCTTATGCTGGCAGTTGATGTGTCTACTGTAATGACTCGCTTAATGAAATAAAAAAAAGGGGCGTAATCATAATAATTAATGAAACAATAATAATTATTTTTGAAAAAACCTGCACAGTTTGTGGCGGCTGCACTACTCATGTGGCCCTAAATCTGTGGGTTCACGACGCCCGGTCTTTTACGGCTGTAAAAGTTTTCAACACTGGCGGTAAAGATAGTTACAGATTCTCATTACTTGTAGATAGATAGATGAGGGGTCAGATTTCTGTTTGCAGCACTGCTAAGTCTGATGCAGCTTGTGAGGACAACACTGGCTCTGGGTAAAGGTGGGAGGATTGACTTAGTTGCTGCAGGTTTATTCCCTTATTGCTCAATCTCTCTCTGCAGAACAGCTAGCTGCCTGCGAAAGCATGACCTCCGTATCTCCAGGGAGGATCTCAGGGATCTCCGGAAAAATAGCACCAGTTAACTGAACAGTGCCACCATGAATTGAACCCAGGACCTTCAGAGCGCAAGGTGTGCGGCTTGATCACTTCGCCACCGAGACCATTGGGGCTCTGGATAATAATGGTTCAGTTTGTTGACTCACCACATAAACTGTAGGCGGATAGGAGGCTTAATAAGTGATGTGGGTATAAAAGTATATTGCAGATGTCACAGACAGATATGCAGTCAAACTGTTGGATGGGGGATAGACACAATGATAGATGGGGGACAGACATACTGATGGATGGGGGATAGACACACTGATAGATGGGGGATAGATACACTGATGGATGGGGGATAGACATACTGATGGATGGGGGATAGACACACTGATGGATGGGGGATAGACATACTGATGGATGGGGGATAGACATACTGATAGATGGGGGATAGACATACTGATAGATGGGGGATAGACATACTGATAGATGGGGGATAGACACACTGATGGATGGGGGATAGACACACTGATGGATGGGGGATAGACATACTGATAGATGGGGGATAGACATACTGATAGATGGGGGATAGACACACTGATGGATGGGGGATAGACACACTGATGGATGGGGGATAGACACACTGATAGATGGGGGATAGACACACTGATAGATGGGGGATAGACATACTGATGGATGGGGGATAGACACACTGATGGATGGGGGATAGACACACTGATAGATGGGGGATAGACACACTGATGGATGGGGGATAGACACACTGATGGATGGGGGATAGACATACTGATGGATGGGGGGATAGACATACTGATGGATAGTCGATAGACATACTGATGGATGCTGGATAGACACACTGATGGGTGGGGAATAGACACAATGATAGATGGGGGATAGACACACTGATACATGGGGGATAGACACACTGATAGATGGGGGATAGACACTGATAGATGGGGGATGGACACGCTGATAGATGGGGGATAGACACACTGATAGATAGGGGATAGACATACTGATGGATGGGGGATAGACACACTGATGGATGGGAGATAGACGCACTGATGGATGGGGGATAGACATACTGATGGATGGGGGGATAGGCGCACTGATGGATGGGGGATAGACACACTGAAGGATGGTGGATAGAGACACTGATGAATGGGGGATAGACACACTGAAGGATGGTGGATAGAGACACTGATGAATGGGGGATAGACATACTGATTGGTGATTTAAACAAGGTAATTGATATAGACAAACTGATTGAGGGCGACAGACTGATGGATGGTGGATATAAATACTGATGGATGTTGGATAGACATACTGATGGATCGTGGATATAAATACTGATGGATGGGGGATAGACAGACTGATGGATGGTGGATAGAAATACTGATGGATGGTGGATATAAATACTGATGGATGGGGGATAGACATACTGATGGATGGTGAATAGACATACTGATGGATGGGGGATAGACATACTGATGGATGGTGGATAGACATACTGATGGATGGTGGATAAACATACTGATGGATGGGGGATAGACATACTGATGGATGATTTAAACAAACTAATTGATATAGACAAACTGATTGAGGGGGACAGACTGATGGATGGTGGATAAGTGGATTGATGAATGGTGGATAAACTGGTAGACAGTGGATAGACAGACTGATTGATGTTATATAGACAAACAAATGTTGGATGAATTGGCTGATAGTGGATAGATAAACTGATTAGTGTTATAGACAAACTAATCGATGGTGGATAAACTAATGGATTATAAATAGCTGAATTGATGTTTGGTGAATAAACTGATGGATGGTGGATAAAAAACTGATGGATGGTGGATAAACAACTGATGGATGGTGGATAATCAGCTGATGGAAGTAGGATAATCAGCTGATGGAAGTAGGATAATCAGCTGATGGAAGTAGGATAATCAGCTGATGGAAGTAGGATAATCAGCTGATGGAAGTAGGATAATCAGCTGATGGAAGTAGGATAATCAGCTGATGGAAGTAGGATAATCAGCTGATGGAAGTAGGATAATCAGCTGATGGAAGTAGGATAATCAGCTGATGGAAGTAGGATAATCAGCTGATGGATGGTGGATAATCAGCTGATGGATGGTGGATAAACAACTGATGGATGGTGGATAATCAGCTGATGGAAGTAGGATAATCAGCTGATGGAAGTAGGATAATCAGCTGATGGAAGTAGGATAATCAGCTGATGGAAGTAGGATAATCAGCTGATGGATGGAGGATAAATAACTGGTAGGTGGTGGATAAACAGCTGATGGATGGTGGATAAACAACTGATGGATGGTGGATAAACAACTGATGGATGGTGGATAAACAACTGATGGATGGTGGATAAACAACTGATGAATGGTGGATAAACAGCTGATGGATGGTGGATAAACAACTGATGGATGGTGGATAAACAGCTGATGGATGGTGGATAAACAGCTGATGGATGGTGGATAAACAACTGATGGATGGTGGATAAACAACTGATGGATGGTGGATAAACAACTGATGGATGGTGGATAAACAACTGATGGATGGTGGATAAACAACTGATGTATGGTTGATAAACAACTGATGGATGGTTGATAAACAACTGATGTATGGTGGATAAACAACTGATGGATGGTGGATAATCAGCTGATGGATGGTGGATAGATGAACTAAAGTTCACACAGGTCTGTCTTACAATCGGCCCTTTCATACACCCAGTGACTTCCACACAGCACTTAAATTTTTTAAAACAAGCATGTTATGTTCATATCTCAAAATTCGTACTCTGTGAATTAAAATACAAAGCGTGGATGGCAAATGCAAACCTTCATATAACATGTAGTTTACTGGTTTCAGAAATCTGTATATTTTGCTGGAATGAAAAGTCAAAATATGATTTGCTGGGAGAAGGACTCTTTTATCTGGGTTTGAAAACCCGTGCGTTGACAGCAAAAATGGAAAGACTCATGTTGCCATCCTTTTCTTCTCCCCAGGAATTGTTGATCCAGCTGTCATTGTGGCTCAGCCAGCAGTCAATTCAGGTCTTCAGTTCATGTCCCAGAGGTATGACTCCCAGCCTCCGCAGATGCAGCATTTGCCACCGCAGCCTCACCTGCAGCAGCAGAACCAGACAGTCAACTCCTTGGGGGAGCTGTCACAGATCCAGTCGTCTGCCAGCCAGCAGTCTCAGCAGCTAGCCCAGGACTACAGCTCCCAGAATTATGCACAGGTGTGTAGACATTCATGAGTGTCCTTCTTTCCTCTGTCCAAATTCTGCTGCTTTGTGCAGCTGGGCATCACAGGATAACAGGGGATCAGTATCCTGGTTGCCCAGGATGCTGTGATGTTGTGGAGTCTCCAGATATCAGTATCTGGGCTAGGGCACGTCTGGTTGCCCAGGATGCTGTGATGTTGTGAAGTCTCCAGATATCAGTATCTGAGCTAGGGCACGTCCGGTTGCCCAGTAAGCTGTGATGTTGTGGAGTCTTGAGATATCAGTGACTCCTTGAATCCATATTTTTTTGTCGTCCCCTTCCTCTTGGCATTTCTACTTTCTTGTTGTACTCTCTCATTGCTGGGATGATTGGATTCATTCTCAGTAAATGACCAAACCATTTCAGTCTATTGTTCAATGAGTTTAATGACATATGTTGTTCCAATAGTTCTTGAGTGCAGAGTGTCTGCTGGCTGTAATGACCACTTTTAGGAATGGGGGGGGGGGGGGTTTGGGCCTGAGTATTTAGGGCCACATGTCTGGTGCAGTCATTACAGACTGCAGGCTAGGATGTTGTTTTTGCCTCGACAGAAAAATTCTGAACCTGGGTCTCCCACCTGAGAGCCAGCATTCATAACTGCTCTACCAGGGGCTCCTCATTTCATGGGTATAATGGGCAGTATCTAAATTTGTGTGAACCTCTCACTACCAAAAAGAATAGGTCATGACCTTGTTGTATTCTATACAAATCCTAAAAAATAAAAAATATTGGTCTATAATTTATGAAAATATTTGTGTCATTTTTTTATAAAGGGGGAGGGGAGGGAGTGTTTAAAGATAAATATATATAAGCACAGTAATCCTCTTGTGTACCAAGCCCTGTAGAATCATTGAGGAGACGCCAGTCGACCTTGTTATGTTTCCGTACCATTGTATTTTTGTTTCCACTGTTAAAGAAGGTTCTGTTAAATTCTTGGTCGCCCCAGCTTAAAATGGGTACTTTGTTGACCACATCAAGAAGGATTGCCTGATAACATCTTGTCTGGAAAGCTGAGGTATTAAACATGGAGACAGTCGGGAGAGAATGCTGATGAAGGCCTCAGTTTCCAGAAAACGAGGCAGACCTCCGCAGGTGTGGATCACAGACATTGAAGATGCAGGGGCTGTGAATGCAGATGGGACTGGAGAATTGGCTAGAGAAAGTGAGGCTTTCTCGCGGGATGTCACAAAAAGTCACAAAGTGTTTAAAGCAGTTTTTTTCAACCCTTTTTACATTCACAGCTGACCAAAATGGGGATAGTTGTTTCGCTGCCCACCTTGCATCTAACCAAACACAGAAAACAAAATAAAAAGATATAGAAAACAGTTTGTTATTTCTGATGTAACAAAATTACAGTTTTTGTCTAATCTCCTACTGCTAAGAGGTAGAAAATCTTATAAAAGTGGCTAGAGCGTTGTATCTGAAAGATGGAGCACTGCAACATCATCATCCAATGTAAAAAAATAGAAATTTTTGATAGATGGAGCACTGCAACAACATCTGATGTAAAAAAAAAACATTACAATATTTGTCTAATCCCCTGCTGCTTAAAGGTTATAGAAAATCTTATAAGCATTGTTAGAGGGTTGTTTCTGATAGATGAAGTGCTGCATTAACATCCATTGTAACAAAATTACAATTTTTGGCTAGAATGTTGTTTCTAATAGATAAAGCGCGGCAATAACATCCTTTCAGTTTCTCTGTTTGATTTTTATTACTGACATAGGCTAGAAAGTCTTTTCATACAAATAGGAAATAGAAACAAAAGACCAGCACTCTGATAGCGCTGTAAGCCCTCTTGGACTTTTCCATGGCTCGTAGGTTGAAGAACACAACTTGAAAGGACCTGCTAATTGGTGGTGATGATGATAATGATCAGATCACCGACTGAATGCCTGTTGATCTGTGAAATTAAGGCTTTGGCACCATATATATATATATATATATATATATATATATATATATATATATATATATATATATAATATATATATATATATATATATATATATATATATATATATATATATGCCTGAAGCACCAGGGGTAGGAAAAGGGTCTTTTACTTAGTTGGCAACTGTAGTCGTCATGAAGCTTGTGGGTGACTGGCAAATGTTTGATCTACAGAACCTGCAGTCAGACAGCCTTTACACGGTGCAGGGTGTCGGGGAGGTTGGGGAGAAGTTGTCTTCACACCCAAGTATCTTGGCACAGAGGAGGGACGACAGTGCAGCATCAGCATTTGAGATCCCTCCTTCAATTCCTCTGCCTCCTTCTCAGATACAGGTAAGATGAGAGACTCCCAGCACTGTGCTTCTTCTTCCTCCTTTTATCCCCCAGTGACGCATACTGCCTCAAGTAACTCACACCAAGTCTTTCTATCCTTTGCTATCGCATGCAGCTCTCCCCATGTCCTCCCCATCTTTTTAACTTCATTCTCTAGCTCCCTTCTCCATGTTTTTTTTTTTTAGGTACAGCACAGTGCTACAGCTTATCTAATCTTTTTGTAAGCTTGTCTTAGGCCCCCCCAAGTTCTAGTATTCACACATGTGTGTCAGAGTTTCATCTAGTCAGTCAGATGTGTGGATTTCTTTAGGAGACACCTCAGTTAAGTGATTTTTCTGTATGTTTTGGTCGTAATTGTTACATTGTTAATTTATCTTAGTAATGATGAAGGCTTTCTGGCTGCAGCGTTCACTCATCATTTGTGATACTTTAAAGCTCACTTCTACTTTTTTGTTTGGTTTGATATCTTTTTATGATTGGTGGATCCTACGCATGTTCTAAAATGGCGGTAGTAGCTTTTTCAAGGTGTTTCAGAGAATTAAGGGTGGACATCACTCCACTCTGGGTGTTTACATCAGTGCTACATTCCTGTCTTACAGCAGCTGAGTTTAATGCTCCATGGTGCTGGTTGTTGGTACAACCTGTTCTCTGTAAATGCTGAAGGTTGGGCAGCGTATGCCGGACTTGACATCTTACATTGTGCCAGTGGCATCAGATGGATCAGTGCATTGGGGAAGATGCTAGCCTCATTCTGGGATAAGGAAAACTTTCAGTGTTATCTCAGTGCAGATTAGCCCACAAAGCCTTGGCTGGCAGCTGGTCTAGGAGGGAAGCTCCGATAGGTGGACAGATAGAGCACTGCTCTTCTGATGTGGCAGCTTCTGCAGTTTTCTTTACTCCAGATGTATAGGTTTTACTTTTCCTTTGGAGTAAACAAGACACATCCGGAAAGAGAGATGGTACTGGATCAGCAGTGCATGGTTTCTGCAATACTACCTACCTAGGCTTTTTGCTATGGCGGAAGCAGTCGTAGTGTAGCAGCTAAACACTCACCTGGGGATTGGAAGGCCCTGGGTTTGGGTCCTGGCAGAGCCCAGACTTTTTCAGAAATGACCTTGGCTTCCATGTTGACCCAGCCTTGGGTGTGTACCGGGTATAGTGCTGGGAAGTAAAAATGGCTAGCGAGATATTGACGACATCACCTACTGAGTGCCGATTGTCTATAAAATATAGGTCTAGCCTTGTATGCCCAATAGGCCTGAAGGCGTGGACAAGGCTCCTTGACTTGTTGCTGCAGGTCTTGCTGTGGGCTTCCCATGGCTGTCCCAGATTTTTGTTTGGAAAGATGGAAGGGTGCCAGCAGCAGCAACAACAGCAGCAGCAGCAATAACAGCAGCAGTAGCAACAGCAAGAACAACACAAACAGCAATAACAACAGCAACACAGAAACAACAGCAGCAGCAGCAACAACAACAGCAGTAATGACACAACAACAGCAAGAGCAACAACGCAAACAGGAATAACAACTGCAGCAACAAAACATAAATAACAGCAGCAATAACAACAATATAGCAAAAAGAACAGCAGCAACAACAATACAACAGCAGCATCAACAAAAGCAACACAGACACAACAACAGCAGCAACAACAATACAACAGCAACAACACAGAAACAACAGCAGAAACAACAGCAGCAGCAACAATACAACAGCAACAACACAGCAACAGAAACAACAATACAACAGCAACAACAACACAGAAACAACAGCAGCAGCATTGGCAAGGTTTAATGTAACCGATCCTTCTGTCAGCAAATGTATATCAGGATGCTAAAAGTCTTGATGAAAGCTATCATGTAGTCCATATTCCCCTGTGTACCATACAGCTGTGTGTGTCTTCACTGAAGGTGTAACAGCCCAGATTGCTTCTCTGTTAGCAGCATACAGTTTTGCTCTTAGTCAAGGTTTCAACTTCGCTGCAGTCAGATCACCCCATACTTGCTGCGTTCCTTTGCCAGTGAAAATCAAATTAAATGTCCACCACTGTCCCATTTGAAAAACAAGTGGACAAACAATTAGCCCTGGCACAATCCAGAAATATACAAGTGGACAAACAATTAGCCCTGGCACAATCCAGAAATATACAAGTGGACAAACAATTAGTCCTGGCACAATCCAGAAATATACAAGTGGACAAACAATTAGCCCTGGCACAATTCAGAAATATACAAGTGGACAAACAATTAGCCCTGGCACAATCCAGAAATATACAAGTGGACAAACAATTAGTCCTGGCACAATCCAGAAATATACGGACGCAGTAAATGCGTATGGCCAAAGCCAACAGTTGCCACCAGTATTGCAGTACGTTGTTGATGAAAGTAGTCAGGCATGATAACTTGACTATACACATGTAGATTTATTATGGCAGGTGTTTCACCAGCCCACACGTAAAGCAGCCACCACCAGTTATTAAATGCCATGACACATCCGCTGCACAAATGAAAGGCACAGCTCACAGGGCTGCACCTAACACTAAACCAGTAGCTAAGGTAGCGAAACCATAGACTACTGTCCATATGTAGAAACTGCACTGGCAAAGTGCTGTTGGAAGCAAAAATAGCTTCAGAGCGCTCAACAGTCTACCGTGCCTGGTCCTCCATTTTTGACCAGAAGTCAGCATATGGTTTGCAGTGTTTGAGTACATACTCAGCATTTTCTGGTGCCAAGCTGCAGGGATGTTTCCTACACTGAAAAATATGAACAGATTTTTGTTAAAGTCTGTTGTACCCTGTCCTTAGTCTGAGTATGATGTATTGTCTTTCTCTGAATATGTTGAGGAAAATGATGACATTTTAATGCTCCCTGCACAGAGTGAATCCTCCAGTGAACAGGAGACACAGTTCCAGATGAATGCCAGGGCTCCAGTCTTTCACTCCATGTACAGCCAGGTATTGTGTTATCCTAAACATAACCTTCACCATCATTCCTGCTCATCACCACTGACCTGTATTGTTCTTGTCATTCTTCTTCCTCTTTCAACATCTCACTGATATCAGATTGTAGCCCAGTGTCATGGTTTTCTATACTTGTCTTGCATTTCTCAGGTGGCTGGAGCAGTGAATTGTAGTCTTTACTGTGTGGTTGCTGTCTTTACTGTGTGGTTGCTGTCTTTACTGTGTGGTTGCTGTCTTTACTGTGTGGTTGCTGTCTTTACTGTGTGGTTGTAGTCTTTACTGTGTGGTTGCTGTCTTTACTGTGTGGTTGCTGTCTTTACTGTGTGGTTGCTGTCTTTACTGTGTGGTTGCTGTCTTTACTGTGTGGTTGCTGTCTTTACTGTGTGGTTGCTGTCTTTACTGTGTGGTTGCTGTCTTTACTGTGTGGTTGCTGTCTTTACTGTGTGGTTGCTGTCTTTACTGTGTGGTTGCTGTCTTTACTGTGTGGTTGCTGTCTTTACTGTGTGGTTGCTGTCTTTACTGTGTGGTTGCTGTCTTTACTGTGTGGTTGCTGTCTTTACTGTGTGGTTGCTGTCTTTACTGTGTGGTTGCTGTCTTTACTGTGTGGTTGCTGTCTTTACTGTGTGGTTGCTGTCTTTACTGTGTGGTTGCTGTCTTTACTGTGTGGTTGCTGTCTTTACTGTGTGGTTGCTGTCTTTACTGTGTGGTTGCTGTCTTTACTGTGTGGTTGTAGTCTTTACTGTGTGGTTGCTGTCTTTACTGTGTGGTTTGCTGTCTTTACTGTGTGGTTGCTGTCTTTACTGTGTGGTTGCTGTCTTTACTGTGTGGTTGCTGTCTTTACTGTGTGGTTGCTGTCTTTACTGTGTGGTTGCTGTCTTTACTGTGTGGTTGCTGTCTTTACTGTGTGGTTGCTGTCTTTACTGTGTGGTTGCTGTCTTTACTGTGTGGTTGCTGTCTTTACTGTGTGGTTGCTGTCTTTACTGTGTGGTTGCTGTCTTTACTGTGTGGTTGCTGTCTTTACTGTGTGGTTGCTGTCTTTACTGTGTGGTTGCTGTCTTTACTGTGTGGTTGCTGTCTTTACTGTGTGGTTGCTGTCTTTACTGTGTGGTTGCTGTCTTTACTGTGTGCTGTCTTTACTTGCTGTCTTTACTGTGTGGTTGCTGTCTTTACTGTGTGGTTGCTGTCTTTACTGTGTGGTTGCTGTCTTTACTGTGTGGTTGCTGTCTGTCTTTACTGTGTGGTTGCTGTCTTTACTGTGTGGTTGCTGTCTTTACTTTGGTTGCTGTGTGGTTGCTGTCTTTGCTGTCTTTACTGTGTGGTTGCTGTCTTTACTGTGTGGTTGCTGTCTTTACTGTGTGGTTGCTGTCTTTACTGTGTGGTTGCTGTCTTTACTGTGTGGTTGCTGTCTTTACTGTGTGTTGCTGTCTTTACTGTCTGTCTTTACTGTGTGGTTGCTGTCTTTACTGTGTGGTTGCTGTCTTTACTGTGTGGTTGCTGTCTTTACTGTGTGGTTGCTGTCTTTACTGTGTGGTGTGTGGTGCTGTCTTTACTGTGTGGTTGCTGTCTTTACTGTGTGGTTGCTGTCTTTACTGTGTGGTTGCTGTCTTTACTGTGTGGTTGCTGTCTTTACTGTGTGGTTGCTGTCTTTACTGTGTGGTTGCTGTCTTTACTGTGTGGTTGCTGTCTTTACTGTGTGGTTGCTGTCTTTACTGTGTGGTTGCTGTCTTTACTGTGTGGTTGCTGTCTTTACTGTGTGGTTGCTGTCTTTACTGTGTGGTTGCTGTCTTTACTGTGTGGTTGCTGTCTTTACTGTGTGGTTGCTGTCTTTACTGTGTGGTGCTGTCTTTACTGTGTGGTTGCTGTCTTTACTGTGTGGCTGTCTTTACTGTGTGGTTGCTGTCTTTACTGTGTGGTTGCTGTCTTTACTGTGTGGTTGCTGTCTTTACTGTGTGGTTGCTGTCTTTACTGTGTGGTTGCTGTCTTTACTGTGTGGTTGCTGTCTTTACTGTGTGGTTGCTGTCTTTACTGTGTGGTTGCTGTCTTTACTGTGTGGTTGCTGTCTTTACTGTGTGGTTGCTGTCTTTACTGTGTGGTTGCTGTCTTTACTGTGTGGTTGCTGTCTTTACTGTGTGGTTGCTGTCTTTACTGTGTGGTTGCTGTCTTTACTGTGTGGTTGCTGTCTTTACTGTGTGGTTGCTGTCTTTACTGTGTGGTTGCTGTCTTTACTGTGTGGTTGCTGTCTTTACTGTGTGGTTGCTGTCTTTACTGTGTGGTTGCTGTCTTTACTGTGTGGTTGCTGTCTTTACTGTGTGGTTGCTGTCTTTACTGTGTGGTTGCTGTCTTTACTGTGGTGCTGTTGCTGTCTTTACTGTGTGTGGTTGCTGTCTTTACTGTGTGGTTGCTGTCTTTACTGTGTGGTTGCTGTCTTTACTGTGTGGTTGCTGTCTTTACTGTGTGGTTGCTGTCTTTACTGTGTGGTTGCTGTCTTTACTGTGTGGTTGCTGTCTTTACTGTGTGGTTGCTGTCTTTACTGTGTGGTTGCTGTCTTTACTGTGTGGTTGTTGCTGTCTTTACTGTGTGGTTGCTGTCTTTACTGTGTGGTTGCTGTCTTTACTGTGTGGTTGCTGTCTTTACTGTGTGGTTGCTGTCTTTACTGTGTGGTTGCTGTCTTTACTGTGTGGTTGCAGTCTTTACTGTGTGGTTGCTGTCTTTACTGTGTGGTTGCTGTCTTTACTGTGTGGTTGCTGTCTTTACTGTGTGGTTGCTGTCTTTACTGTGTGGTTGCTGTCTTTACTGTGTGGTTGCTGTCTTTACTGTGTGGTTGCTGTCTTTACTGTGTGGTTGCTGTCTTTACTGTGTGGTTGCTGTCTTTACTGTGTGGTTGCTGTCTTTACTGTGTGGTTGCTGTCTTTACTGTGTGGTTGCTGTCTTTACTGTGTGGTTGCTGTCTTTACTGTGTGGTTGCTGTCTTTACTGTGTGGTTGCTGTCTTTACTGTGTGGTTGCTGTCTTTACTGTGTGGTTGCTGTCTTTACTGTGTGGTTGCTGTCTTTACTGTGTGGTTGCAGTCTTTACTGTGTGGTTGCAGCCTGCTTTTTCTTATAATTGATGCTGTGTGGCATATAGTCTTCATGTTTGCTTAGTTTCCCATCATTTATGCTGATAAATTCTGAAACAGATGTCTCACTGGCCGTCTTGTCAGACTGTTTTTTTCCCTCCATATTTTAATATCTCTTCATCTTCAACTTTCTTGTTGCCACAGCAGCAGTGATCACTAGAACCACAAGACCAGGTGTCATAATAATTTTTTTTTAATGAAGCAGGCAAATTAAAATAAAGGAGAAGCTAAGAAGAAGAGAAAGAATAAAAAAGAAGTGGAAGAAGGAGAAAAATAAGTGGCAGAATAAGAATGAGAAGGAGAACAAGAAGTGAAGAAGAAGATCAGGAGTGAGGAAGAGAAGAAGAAGAAACAAAAATTAGTGGAAGAAAGAGAAGCAGCAAAAAAAAAAAAGTTAGAAGAAAAAGATGTGGAAGAAGGCAAAGAAAGTAGTTTGTGCCTTAGATCCCATAAAACAGACACAAGCTGGTTTGTAGAGAGCTCATCCTGATAATATTCATTTTGCTTTTTTTTTGTTGAAAACAAAATGATAGATGGCTAGTGGCCCAGTTGCCGTGTCGCAAGCTTCAGGACTGGCAGGAAGTGAGGGTCAGATCTCCTCGTCTGCTGTGGACTTCTCCAAGTCGTCCCCCACAGGCGAGTTTGGGCAGCCAGGTGCTGGAGACTTCCAGCAGAGCTCCAAAGGTACATCTATGTGGTTTGATGTTCGGATCTGCTAACAGCTGAGTGTAGTTAGTGTCCTTTTGTGTATCTAAACATACGACAAGCACTCAAGAAATGAATGTCAGGATCTCCAAAACTAGCAATGCCTTTGACAGACTACATTAGCACCTTTCCGTCTTTCCAGACCATAGTGTAAACAGTGACAGACAATATTAGTACCTTTCTTTCTTTCCAAACCATAGTGTAAACGGTGACAGACTACATTAGTACCTTTCTGTCTTTCCAGACCATAGTGTAAACAGTGACAGACTACATTAGTACCTTTCTGTTTTTCCAAACCATAGTGTAAACGGTGACAGACTACATTAGTACCTTTTCCTCTTTCCAGACCATAGTGTAAACAGTGACAGACTACATTAGTACCTTTCTGTCTTTCCAGACCATAGTGTAAACAGTGACAAACTACATTAGTACCTTTCTGTTTTTCCAAACCATAGTGTAAACAGTGACAGACTACATTAGTACCTTTCTGTCTTTCCAGACCATAGTGTAAACAGTGACAGACTACATTAGTACCTTTCTGTTTTTCCAAACCATAGTGTAAACGGTGACAGACTACATTAGTACCTTTCTGTCTTTCCAGACCATAGTGTAAACGGTGACAGACTACATTAGTACCTTTCCGTCTTTCCAGACCATAGTGTAAACAGTGACAGACTACATTTGTACCTTTCTGTCTTTCCAGACCATAGTGTAAACAGTGACAGACTACATTAGTACCTTTCCCAGTTTCCAGACCATAGTGTAAACGGTGACAGACTACATTAGTACCTTTCCCTCTTTCCAAACCATAGTGTAAACAGTGACAGACTACATTAGTACCTTTCTGTCTTTCCAGACCATAGTGTAAATGGTGACAGACTACATTAGTACCTTTCCCTCTTTCCAGACCATAGTGTAAATGGTGACAGACTACATTAGTACCTTTCCCTCTTTCCAGACCATAGTGTAAACAGTGACAGACTACATTAGTACCTTTCCGTCTTTCCAGACCATAGTGTAAACAGTGACAGACTACATTAGTACCTTTCCCTCTTTCCAAACCATAGTGTAAACAGTGACAGACTACATTAGTACCTTTCCTTCTTTCCAGACCATAGTGTAAACAGTGACAGACTACATTAGTACCTTTCTGTCTTTCCAGACCATAGTGTAAACAGTGACAGACTACATTAGTACCTTTCTGTCTTTCCAGACCATAGTGTAAACAGTGACAGACTACATTAGTACCTTTCTGTCTTTCCAGACCATAGTGTAAACGGTGACAGACTACATTAGTACCTTTCTGTCTTTCCAGACCATGGTGTAAACAGTGACAGACTACATTAGTACCTTTCTGTCTTTCCAGACCATAGTGTAAACAGTGACAGACTACATTAGCACCTTTCCGTCTTTCCAGACCATAGTGTAAACAGTGACAGACTACATCTTCTTCGTGACTTAGACCATCCTCACATATCACATCTTGGTCCTCTTGTACCTTGTGACTTACGTCCATCCTCACATATCACATCTTGGTCCTCTTGTACCTTGTGACTTACGTCCATCCTCACATATCACATCTTGGTCCTCTTGTACCTTGTGACTTACGTCCATCCTCACATATCACATCTTGGTCCTCTTGTACCTTGTGACTTACGTCCATCCTCACATATCACATCTTGGTCCTTTTGTACCTTGTGACTTAACGTCCATCCTCACATATCACATCTTGTACCTTGTGACTTACGTCCATCCTCACATATCACATCTTGTACCTTGTGACTTACGACCATCCTCACATATCACATCTTGTACCTTGTGACTTACGACCATTTTCACATATCACATCTTGGTCCTCTTGTACCTCCTGACTTACGACCATATTCACATATCACATCTTGGTCCTCTTGTACCTTGTGACTTACGACCATCCTCACATATCACATCTTGGTCCTCTTGTACCTTCTGACTTACGACCATATTCACATATCACATCTTGGTCCTCTTGTACCTTGTGACTTACGACCATCCTCACATATCACATCTTGTACCTTGTGACTTACGACCATCCTCACATATCACACCTTGGTCCTCTTATACCTTGTGACTTACGACCATCCTTAAATATCACATCTTGTACCTTGTGACTTACGACCATCCTCACATATCACATCTTGGTCCTCTTATACCTTGTGACTTACGACCATTTTCACATATCACATCTTGAACCTTGTGACTTATGTCCATCCTCACATATCACATCTTGGTCCTCTTGTACCTTGTGACTTAGTCCATCCTCACATATCACATCTTGTACCTTGTGACTTACGACAATCCTCACATATCATATCTTGTACCTTGCTGACAGTATATGTCAGTTGTGCTTCCAACAGTACTTGTGTGTGTGTGCAAACAAAGCTGACAGTATATCAGTCAGTTGTGCTTCCAACAGTACTTTGTGTGTGTGTGTGTGTGTGTGTGTGTGTGTGCAAACAAAGCTGACAGTATATCAGTCAGTTGTGCTTCCAACAGTACTTGTGTGTGTGTGTGCAAACAAAGCTGACAGTATATCAGTCAGTTGTGCTTCCAACAGTACTTGTGTGTGTGTGTGTGTGTGTGTGTGTGTGTGTGTGTGTGTGTGTGCAAACAAAGCTGACAGTATATCAGTCAGTTGTACTTCCAACAGTACTTGTGTGTGTGTGCGCAAACAAAGCTGACAGTATATAAGTCATTTGTGCTTTCAACAGTACTTGTGTGTGTGTGTGTGTGCAAACAAAGCTGACAGTATATCAGTCAGTTGTGCTTCCAACAGTATTTGTGTGTGTGTGTGCAAACAAAGCTGACAGTATATCAGTCAGTTGTGCTTCCAACAGTACTTGTGTGTGTGTGTGTGTGCAAACAAAGCTGACAATATATCAGTCAGTTGTGCTTCCAACAGTACTTGTGTGTGTGTGTGTGTGCAAACAAAGCTGACAGTATATATGTCAGTTGTGCTTCCAACAGTACTTGTGTGTGTGTGTGTGTGTGTGTGTGCAAAGCTGACAGTATATCAGTCAGTTGTGCTTCCAACAGTACTTCTGTGTGTGTGTGTGTGTGTGTGTGTGTGTGCAAACAAAGCTGACAGTATATCAGTCAGTTGTGCTTCCAACAGTACTTGTGTGTGTGTGTGCAAACAAAGCTGACAGTATATCTGTCAGTTGTGCTTCCAACAGTACTTGTGTGTGTATGTGCAAACAAAGCTGACAGTATATCAGTCAGTTGTGCTTCCAATAGTACTTGTGTGTGTGTGTGTGCAAGCAAAGCTGACAGTATATCAGTCAGTTGTGCTTCCAACAGTACTTGTGTGTGTGTGCAAGCAAAGCTGATAGTATATCAGTCAGTTGTGCTTCCAACAATACTTGTGTGTGTGTGTGCAATCAAAGCTGACAGTATATCAGTCAGTTGTGCTTCCAACAGTACTTTGTGTGTGTGTGTGTGTGTGTGTGTGTGTGCAAAGCTGACAGTATATCAGTCAGTTGTGCTTCCAACAGTACTTGTGTGTGTGTGTGTGTGCAAGCAAAGCTGACAGTATATCAGTCAGTTGTGCTTCCAACAGTACTTGTGTGTGTGTGTGCAAGCAAAGCTGACAGTATATCAGTCAGTTGTGATTCCAACAGTACTTGTGTGTGTGCATATAAAACATTAACTGTTTATCACAACACAATGTCCAGAGGCTAAATTTCTGCCAGTTTTTGCTTCAGGAAGTTGTTAAACATCAGATGGGAAGTAAAAGTCCCTGATACCGTTATCTTTGAAAGAGCCTGCCTGCTCATCCTAGCAGTTCGTAAATTAAGGAAAAATTATTTGGAAGCTGCGGAATGTTGTTTTAAACACAAGTGATGAGAATACGATGGACATTTAAACAGAGCAATGAAGATGTCTTGAAAGAAACTGGCTCATAAAGAGAACTAACTGCCCATTTAGAAAGAGACAATCTACTTTCTTGATTTTATGATGAGAAGGAAAATAACTGGAGTACATCGTAGGAAAGCTGGAGGGAAGTAGAGGCAGAGGGGAGACATGGAAGATCATCTGTTTCAGAGTTGATTTAAAGTACACGAGACGGAAGGTTGTGAATGGACATGACTACCGCCACACAACATGGACTATGGGAAGTTCATCTGTGTCAGAGTTGATTGAAAGTACATGAGAAGGTTGTGGATGGTCGTGACTACCAATGCCACACAACATGGACTATGGAAGATCATCTGTGTCAGTTGATTGAAAGTACATGAGAAGGTTGTGGATGGTCATGACTGCCGCCACACAACATGGACTATGGAAGATCATCTGTGTCAGAGTTGATTGAAAGTACATGAGAAGGTTGTGGATGGTCATGACTACTAATGCCACACAACATGGACTATGGAAGATCATCTGTGTCAGAGTTGATTGAAAGTACATGAGAAGGTTGTGGATGGTCATGACTACCGCCACACAACATGGACTATGGAAGATCATCTGTGTCAGAGTTGATTGAAAGTACATGAGAAGGTTGTGGATGGTCATGACTACCAATGCCACACAACATGGACTATGGAAGATCATCTGTGTCAGAGTTGATTGAAAGTACATGAGAAGGTTGACTACCAACACCACATGGCATGGAATTTAATAAAAAAGTCACCCCTGCCAGCCTGATATGAAAATGCTGTTTATCAAATGTTTATAAAGTGTATGTTTAACTAAATCTGATTTTTGAATTGTTTCAGGGGGTAATTACCAAAGTTATCCGCCTAGCAACAGTTATAGGGCGGACAGTTTCCACGGGGGGCCATACAACTACAACAAATCCAGATTCAGCGGGGAAGTGCACCAGAAAAGAGGCGGGCCCTTGGGCGGTCCTGGAGCTAGAGGTTATCCCCGCGGAGGTGCTGGTGTAAATAACGGCCGGGGAGGTAAATGATAGATGGTGTATGTTCAGATCTCCAAAGTTATTGGAATCTTTCATTTGTGCTACAAGTTAAACTGTTGGTCTTTTTATTGTGGTCAGATTCTCTCTTTCTTATTTAGAATGTAAATTCTAGATAGTGTGTGTTCAGATCCCCAAAGTATTTTAGAATATTTTTGATTGTTTATACCAATGACTAAACTGTTTCTTTTACTGTTCTTTTATACCTCACTGAAAAAAGTTTTTAGTTTTAAATTATTGTGTTTTGGGCTAGTCTTTATGTGAACCAGTTACTGTGTGATTGGCTAGTCTTTATGTGAACCAGTTACAGTGTTTTTGGCTAGTCTTTATGTGAACCAGTTACTGTGTTTATGTCTAGTCTTTATGTGAACCACTTAACGTGTGATTGGCTAATCTTTATGTGAACCAGTTACTGTGTTTATGTCTAGTCTTTATGTGAACCACTTAACGTGTGATTGGCTAATCTTTATGTGAACCAGTTACTGTGTTTATGTCTAGTCTTTATGTGAACCACTTAACATGTGATTGGCTAATCTTTATGTGAACCAGTTACTGTGTTTTTGTCTAGCCTTTATGTGAACCACTTAACGTGTTATTGGCTAATCTTTATGTGAACCAGTTAACGTTTGATTAGCTAGTATTTATGTGAATCAGTTACTGTGCGATTAGCTAGTCTTTATGTGAACCACTTAACGTGTGATTGGCTAATCTTTATGTGAACCAGTTAATGTGTGATTGGCTAGTCTTTATGTGAACCAGTTACTGTGTGATTGGCTAGTCTTTATGTGAACCAGTTACTGTGTTTTTGGCTAGTCTTTATGTGAACCAGTTACTGTGTTTTTGGCTAGTCTTTATGTGAACCAGTTACTGTGTTTTTGGCTAGTCTTTTTGTGAATCAGTTAATGTGCCATTGGCTAGTCTTTATGTGAACCAGTTACTGTGTGATTGGCTAGTATTTATGTGAACCAGTTAATGTGTGATCGGCTAGTCTTTATGTGAACTAGTTACTGTGTTTTTGGCTAGTCTTTATGTGAACTAGTTACTGTGTTTTTGGCTAGTCTTTATGTGAACTAGTTACTGTGTTTTTGGCTAGTCTTTATGTGAACCAGTTACTGTGTTTTTGGCTAGTCTTTTTGTGAACTAGTTAACATGTGATTGGCTAGTCTTTATGTGAACTAGTTAACATGTGATTGGCTAGTCTTTATGTGAACTAGTTAACATGTGATTGGCTAGTCTTTATGTGAACTAGTTAACATGTGATCGGCTAGTCTTTATGTGAACTAGTTAACATGTGATTGGCTAGTCTTTATGTGAACTAGTTAACATGTGATTGGCTAGTCTTTATGTGAACCAGTTACTGTGTAATTGGCTAGTCTTTATGTGAATCGCTTAATGTGTGATTGGCTAGTTTTTATGTGAACTAGTTACTGTGTGGTTGGCTAGTCTTTATGTGAATCGTTTAATGTGTAATTGGCTAGTCTTTATGTAAATCAGTTTATGTGTGATTGGCTAGTATTTATGTGAATTGTTTAATGTGTAATTGGCTAGTCTTTATGTGAATCAGTTAATGTGTAATTGGCTAGTCTTTATGTGAATCAGTTAATGTGTGATTGGCTAGTATTTATGTGAATCAGTAAATATGTAATTGGCTAGTATTTATGTGAATCAGTTAATGTGTGATTGGCTAGTATTTATGTGAATCGGTAAATATGTAATTGGCTAGTATTTATGTGAATTAGTTAATGTGTGATTGGCTAGTATTTATGTGAATCGCTTAATGTGTGATTGGCTAGTCTTTATGTGAACCAGTTACTGTGTGATTGCTTTATGTGAAGCGGTCAGTGTGTGATTGGCTAGTCTTTATGTGAATCAGTTAATGTGTGATTGGCTAGTATTTATGTGAATCAGTTAATGTGTGATTGGCTAGTCTTTATGTGAATCAGTTAATGTGTGATTACGTCTTGTGGCACACACTGACAACGATAAAAGAGTTTTTCTGCGTGTAATTTGCTTATTTGTATTGTTTTTTGCTCAGTTTGGGCAGTTGCTTTTGTCCCATTAGTTACATTTTCATGTTTTTCTCATATCAGGCATGCGAGGAGGCATGGCAAGAGGAGGGAGCAATGGATCCCGGGGAGGATACAACAGACCCTTAGCGACGCAGTAGGATGAGCTAGCACTGTTGCAATCATGTCGGCGTTAGTCTAGCGTTGAGTTCGATCCTTGTTCGTTCCAGTTCTGCAAGTGACCACTGTTTCCTGTAGGATGTTTCTTTTTTCCCCCCATTATTTTCAAGTCAGACGGGAGTTTCTCCAAAATGTCTTTATAACTTTTGTTTCTTCGTTTTTCAGTTTGCGTTAAAATTCGAGATATGATGTGCCTAACTATCGTTTCTTTGGAATGTTGCAATGTAGCTGTTCAAAATTCTTCACGATTTCACTTCTAAATTCTGTTTTGTTGAGATGTTCATAAACTTTAATAAAATTAGATGTATAAATGTTTTGTGGTTACAGTATGGAAGGTGAATTATTACATTTTTCATAGATAATTAATCATTGTTATGAATTTTGGAAACATACGTTGACAGTTTGTGTGTGCTCATACTCCATCACATTGACAGTTTGTGTGTGTGTGTGTGTGTTTGCTTATACTTCATCTTCTCTACGTTGACAGTTTGTGTGTGCTCATACTTCATCTTCTCTACGTTGACAGTTTGTGTGTGCTCATACTTCATCTTCTCTACGTTGACAGTTTGTGTGTGCTCATACTTCATCTTCTCTGTGTTGACAGTTTGTGTGTGTGCTCATACTCCATCTTCTCTACGTTGACAGTTTGTGTGTGTGCTTATACTCCATCTTCTCTACGTTGACAGTTTGTGTGTGTTTGCTCATACTTCATCTTCTCTACGTTGACAGTTTGTGTGTGTGCTCATACTATATCTTCTCTGTGTTGACAGTTTGTGTGTGTGTACTCATACTCCATCTTCTCTACGTTGACAGTTTGTGTGTGTGTGCTCATACTCCATATTCTCTACGTTGACAGTTTGTGTGTGTGTGCTATTACTTCATCTTCTCTGTGTTGACAGTTTGTGTGTGTGTGCTCATACTTCATCTTCTCTACGTTGACAGTTTGTGTGTGTGCTCATACTCCATCTTCTCTACGTTGACAGTTTGTGTGTGTGCTCATACTCCATCTTCTCTACGTTGACAGTTTGTGTGTGTGTGCTCATACTCCATCTTCTCTACGTTGACAGTTTGTGTGTGTACTTCATCTTCTCTGTGTTGGCAGTTTGTGTGTGTGCTCATACTCCATCTTCTCTACATTGACAGTTTGTGTGTGTGTGCTTATACTTCATCTTCTCTACGTTGATAGTTTGTGTGTGTGCTCATACTCCATCTTCTCTGTGTTGGCAGTTTGTATGTGTGCTCATACTCCATCTTCTCTACCTTGACAGTTTGTGTGTGTGCGCTAATACTCCATCTTCTCTACATTGACAGTTTGTGTGTGTGTGTGTGTGCTTATACTTCATCTTCTCTACGTTGACAGTTTGTGTGTGTGCTCATACTCCATCTTCTCTACGTTGATAGTTTGTGTGTGTGCTCATACTCCATCTCCTCTACCTTGACAGTTTGTGTGTGTGCTAATACTCCATCTTCTCTACCTTGACAGTTTGTGTGTGTGCTAATACTTCATCTTCTCTACCTTGACAGTTTGTGTGTGTGCTAATACTTCATCTTCTCTACCTTGACAGTTTGTGTGTGTGCTAATACTCCATCTTCTCTACCTTGACAGTTTGTGTGTGTGCTAATACTTCATCTTCTCTACCTTGACAGTTTGTGTGTGTGCTAATACTCCATCTTCTCTACCTTGACAGTTTGTGTGTGTGCTAATACTTCATCTTCTCTACCTTGACAGTTTGTGTGTGTGCTAATACTCCATCTTCTCTACCTTGACAGTTTGTGTGTGTGCTAATACTCCATCTTCTCTACCTTGACAGTTTGTGTGTGTGCTAATACCTTATCTTCTCTACCTTGACAGTTTGTGTGTGTGCTAATACTCCATCTTCTCTACGTTGACAGTTTGTGTGTGTACTCATACTCCATCGTCTCTACGTTGACAGTTTGTGTGTGTACTCATACTCCATCTCTCTGTGTGAAGAGGTTAACATTGCTGAGTCAAAGATTAGGAGGTTTTAAGTTTAAATTTGAGATGAAGGGGTTTAAGCTCAGCGATGAGATTAAGGTTGTAGAGAGATGTTTTTCAGTTGTAGGGTGAGATTGAGAAGTTTAGGCGAAGAAGAAAAGGTTTTAAAGGACCCTTTTCCACATCTTTAGGCGTACTCGGCATATAGGGCTAGACCTTTATTTTATTGACCAATCGGCGCTTGGTGGTTTGGTCAGCATCACAGAACAAGGTTGGGGTGGCCTAAGAGCCAAGGTCGGAATAGGTTGTGCACATGATCCGAGTTAACTCCCACATGGTCTGAGTTAACTCCTACACGGCTCTAGTTTACCCACACATGGCCTGAGTTAACTCCTACACGGCGCTAGTTTACCCACACATGGCCTGAGTTAACTCCTACACGGCTCTAGTTTACCCACACATGGCCTGAGTTAACTCCTACACGGCGCTAGTTTACCCACACATGGCCTGAGTTAACTCCTACACGGCTCTAGTTTACCCACACATGGCCTGAGTTAACTCCTACACGGCTCTAGTTTACCCACACATGGCCTGAGTTAACTCCTACACGGCTCTAGTTTACCCACACATGGCCTGAGTTAACTCCTACACGGCTCTAGTTTACCCACACATGGTCTGAGTTAACTCCTACACGGCTCTAGTTTACCCACACATGGCCTAAGTTAACCCCTACACGGCTCTAGTTTACCCACACATGGTTTGAGTTAACTCCTACACGGCTCTAGTTTACCCACACATGGCCTGAGTTAACTCCTACACGGCTCTAGTTTACCCACACATGGCCTGAGTTAACTCCTACACGGCTCTAGTTTACCCACACATGGTCTGAATTATCTCCCACACGGCTCTAGTTTACCCACACATGGTCTGAGTTAACTCCTACATGGCTCTAGTTTACCCACACATGGTCTGAGTTAACTCCTACACAGCTCTAGTGTACCCACACATGGTCTGAGTTAACTCCTTAACGGCTCTAGTTTACCCACACATGGTCTGAATTCCTACACGGCTCAGTTTACCCACACATGGTCTGAATTAACTCCCACACGGCTCTAGTTTACCCACACATGGCCTGAGTTTACACTGCTCTAGTTTACTCACACATGGCCTGAGTTAACTCCTACACTACTCTAGTTTACCCACACATGGTCTGAGTTAACTCCTACACTGCTCTAGTTTACCCACACATGGCCTGGGTTAACTCCTACATTTCTCTAGTTTACCCACACATGGTCTCAGTTAACTCCTACACGGCTCTAGTTTACTCACACATGGCCTGAGTTAACTCCCACACGGCTCTAGTTTACCCACACATGGTCTGAGTTAACTCCTACACGGCTCTAGTTTACCCACACATGGCCTGTTAACTCCTACACGGCTCTAGTTTACCCACACATGGCCTGAGTTAACTCTTACACTGCTCTAGTTTACCCACACATGGTCTGAGTTAACTCCTACACGGCTCTAGTTTACCCACACATGGTCTGAATTAACTCCCACACGGCTCTAGTTTACCCACACATGGTCTGAATTATCTCCCACACGGCTCTAGTTTACCCACACATGGTCTGAGTTAACTCCTACATGGCTCTAGTTTACCCACACATGGTCTGAGTTAACTCCTACACAGCTCTAGTGTACCCACACATGGTCTGAGTTAACTCCTTAACGGCTCTAGTTTACCCACACATGGTCTGAATTCCTACACGGCTCAGTTTACCCACACATGGTCTGAATTAACTCCCACACGGCTCTAGTTTACCCACACATGGTCTGAGTTAACTCCTACACGGCTCTAGTTTACCCACACATGGCCTGAGTTAACTCTTACACTGCTCTAGTTTACCCACACATGGTCTGAGTTAACTCCCACACGGCTCTAGTTTACCCACACATGGTCTGAATTAACTCCCACACGGCTCTAGTTTACCCACACATGGTCTGAATTATCTCCCACACGGCTCTAGTTTACCCACACATGGTCTGAGTTAACTCCTACATGGCTCTAGTTTACCCACACATGGTCTGAATTATCTCCCACACGGCTCTAGTTTACCCACACATGGTCTGAGTTAACTCCTACATGGCTCTAGTTTACCCACACATGGTCTGAGTTAACTCCTACACAGCTCTAGTGTACCCACACATGGTCTGAATTCCTACACGGCTCAGTTTACCCACACATGGTCTGAATTAACTCCCACACGGCTCTAGTTTACCCACACATGGCCTGAGTTTACACTGCTCTAGTTTACCCACACATGGCCTGAGTTAACTCCTACACTGCTCTAGTTTACCCACACATGGTCTCAGTTAACTCCTACACGACTCTAGTTTACCCACACATGGTCTGAGTTAACTCCTACATGGCTCTAGTTTACCCACACATGGTCTGAGTTAACTCCTACACAGCTCTAGTGTACCCACACATGGTCTGAGTTAACTCCTTAACGGCTCTAGTTTACCCACACATGGTCTGAATTCCTACACGGCTCAGTTTACCCACACATGGTCTGAATTAACTCCCACACGGCTCTAGTTTACCCACACATGGCCTGAGTTTACACTGCTCTAGTTTACTCACACATGGTCTGAGTTAACTCCTACACGGCTCTAGTTTACCCACACATGGCCTGAGTTAACTCTTACACTGCTCTAGTTTACCCACACATGGTCTGAGTTAACTCCTACACGGCTCTAGTTTACCCACACATGGTCTGAATTAACTCCCACACGGCTCTAGTTTACCCACACATGGCCTGAGTTAACTCTTACACTGCTCTAGTTTACCCACACATGGTCTGAGTTAACTCCTACATGGCTCTAGTTTACCCACACATGGTCTGAGTTAACTCCCACACTGCTCTAGTTTACCCACACATGGCCTGAGTTAACTCCTACACGGCTCTAGTTTACCCACACATGGCCTTAGTTAACTCCCACACAGCTCTAGTTTACCCACAC